GTCTGTGTTTTGAAGTGAAGTGTAATCTAGTAAAGAGAACCAATATGTATTCCAAAGAAATGTAGCAATGTACTATGGTGGGTATGGGGACCCAAAGATGGGAGTAGCCAGGTGTTCAAGGAACAGGTGTTGAGGGGAGGGGCAAGAGAGAAGTCATAGCTTTGCCTGCAATGCATTTACTTCCTTTCTCAGCTCTTCTGACCTTTAACAACTTAATCTAATCATCCATAAAGGCCTCTTTCATCACGTTGGCCCTCCTGCATACTATTTCTTCTTATGGGAACCTGCCACTCATTGAACTCACTCACATGTCACACACCATGCTATATGACTTACTTAAGTTAGTCACGTTTAATATTTATTTAAGCATTGTAGCCTCCTCCTTTCCTTGATATGAAATGTACTCATTACCTTGCCCATGTAATTGTAACCCCTCTGTACACAGTATTTTCACAATAAAAAATATTTATGTAAACCTTACACTACAACTACTATAGGTCATTATTGTTTGTTTGATTGTTTTGTTTTTTTTTACCAAAATTATATTTGAAAAAAAAACCCTGATGCTCAAAGCAATTAAACAATTTGATCTGGGTCTTATACCTGAAACTCCCTCCATCACTTCTTCATCGACTCCTTTATTATATGTTACAAAGTGCTGTCTAGTCTCTTCCAGAAGACCTCAGACCACGCATTCATGGAGGACAAGGCCCAGACTTCTGGTTTCCTGTCTGTGCCTCACACTTCAGAATATATGAGATTTATTAAATACTTCAGAACAAGTGGTTTGGCTGATGATCAGCCTCTTTTATTGTAGCCACACACTAATATTAGCCATGATTCCCTAACACTACAGCAGAATGCAAAAAGCAAAGAATTATGAAAAAAACAGCTTAGCAATAGTTTTGAAATTAAACAGACAAGTTAGCTATTTAGTGTTCCAATAGCAAAAATAATTTCTGCTGTCTTAAAAAGAAAATCTAGGGTGAAAAAATGCAGCCGTGGTACTCACTATGATGCTATGTTGGAAATGAATGATAATAACTTATGGGTAGGAAAACAGGAGGGAAAAACGGAGAGAGAGCTAGGGATGGGGTGAAATGTATTCATTACTTAACTTATATAACTGTAACCCCTGTTTATCACCTTTATAATAACAATATGAAATGCAAATTGAAAAGAGAAGCTAGCTAGTTTTTAGACCACAGATAGGTCCTGTAAACCTATGTTTTAATCTGTTCTAACTAGTATGAAGAAGACCAGTTCTTTGTAAGACCCGGGGCTTATTGAGTTTATAGGTAGTTATATATCTAGATGATATGGTGAATAGGTACAGAAAAAAAAATCAGTCAGCAGGACTTGCTTTTTCTTTTTTTTTTTTGGGGGGGGGTCCGGTTGTGGGGCCTGAACTCTAGGCCTGGGCGCTGTCCTTCAGCTCTTCAGCTCAAGGCTAGCGCTCTACCACTTGAGTCACAGCGCCACTTCCAGGTTTTTTCTTTTTGCTTATGTGGTGCTGAGGAATTGAACCCAGGGCCTCATGCATGCAAGGCACGCGCTCTACCACTGAGCCAACTTCCCAGCCAGGACTTGCTTTTTCTAAGCAAGTCATATTGTGTATCTCCAATATTCATTCATTTCCCTGACATCTATGAAAATATAGCAGTATGACAGTGGTAGAAAAAAGGTCCCCCAAGCTATAACTCCCCAAATCCATCACAGATACATAAATTGAACAGGATTATTTCTTAGTTCTCAAGAAGATCTTCATTCCTCATACTGATTGATAACCACTGGTAGAAAGACATTCTGATTGTTTGGTAGAGCAGCAGAAAGCAGGGCAGAAAGATATGGCTATGTTTACGCAACACTGAGTTGGTGGAGAAGGACACTGACACCATTTTGAAACTGCAACAGGAAGCAAGTTTGAGATGTCACCACACTACCAAATAAAACTGAGAAGGAGAGCTCATCCCATGGTGGATACAAAAGAGGTAGGGAGTTTATTTGTGTAGGATTATGAAAACAACAACAAGGAAGCATGCTGGTGTATAGAAGCCAGGGTCCCTGAAATAGGTTGGTATAAAAGACCCACCAAGGGCGGCATTGTGGAAGCAAACCTGCTCCACTGGCACCATGTCTTGTTTTAACTCCGGTCTCCAAGGATCCTGCAGTGTCCCTACCGGCCCAGCCACCACCCTCCACTCCTCTGACATATTCTGCCCATGTGAGGTCTGCCTGCCCAGCACCTGCCCACATAATATCAGCCTCCTCCAGCCTGCCTGCTGTGACACTACTTCCCCACCCTGCTGTGTGCCTGACTCTTATGTGGCATCATGTTGGCTGTTCAACAAGGGCCACCCTGCCCCAAATGTGGCTGGGATCTCTGTCACCACCTGTGTCCAGCCTTGTGAGTGTCAACCTCCTTGCTGCTAGCCAAACATGGCAAAGCACCTCCCAGGGCTCCCTAAGGATCTTGAATGGTCACTAAAGGCTGGTCAGCAAATGGCTGGGAGATGCTTTGACCTTGGGCCTTCAGCCTTGCAGAAGATGCTCTTTTCTCATTTTGAACAATGATTTCAATCAAGTGAGGGAAGCATCCAATCATAGATCTCCTTACTTTAAAACAAAATAAACACTACTGACACCTCCAAACCATGTACTGTTTTCATGTTTAATGCTATAAATATCTAAGGACTCATGGCCTATGCATCATGAAGCCATAACTAAATCCAGCAGTATTACATTTTTTAATGACATCAATGTAAATCTCCTAGCCAAAGGAAGTCTCCCAGGGGCATAGAGACATCTGAGTAGAGTCATATGGATAAGAACATTTCATTCTATGCTCAGAATTATTTAAGATCTCAATGTCAGCACCTTCTTTGTTATTTTGAATAACTCACATGTGTCCTTAAAGAGACAGAGAAGCCATGATTAGGTATCAACATACACTCTAATCTGTCATTTAACCCAACTCAATAAATATTTACCAAATGCATACTCTGCTAAGCATGCTCCCAAGTGCTTGAAAGAAGCAAGCAAGATTAACAAACAAGTCTTTCTTTCAAAGGCCTGGCACTGAGGTGAGGGAAAAATGGTGGAATGATCATCTTGGCAGAATGAAACAAGGTCTGAGAGAAGAGTGCAGCTCATTTCGTAAGAACAGGAAAAAGAAATGAAACCGCCTGGAAGGATGGCTTCGTGATCCAGTTTCTTTGTGAAGGAAATATTGGAGCTGCAACTTCAGAAATGAATAGGATTTTTGCAGCAGAGACTCAGAGAGGAGACTTTCAAGCTGAAGAAACAATGAGCATGGTGGACAGAGGGGCAGAAGGTCTGGAAGACTCACCTTCATTTTTATTTGTTGGCCTTTATGATAACTACCCAATATTTAAGCAAAAACTAAGCCTATTGCACAAAAAGACCTTTAGTAGTATCCCCATTACCAATGACATTTGAGGTTTTTTTCTGATTTTTTTTCTGATAAATGATGATTTATTGGTTGAAAAAAATGTCATTCATCAGTGCAAACTTCAATCAAAGGAAACATTAGTTCACAAAAGGATTCAAAAAACAGTTTGAGAGTGAGGCCTGTTCACGATGAAAAAACTTTGGTTTCTTTTCATCTTCACCAGTTGATATTTTTCCCCCTACTGACTTTTTTCAGTCAGCCTTTTTCTCTTTTCAACAGACCATCTTGGTTTGGGGTAATGTCCTGTAAAAAAAAAAAAACTCATTAGGGAATCTATACATTATATTCCTTCAACAATCATTTGCTGTCCAATAACTTAAGTGATGTTGATTCCACTCACTGAATAGTTTTATGCTGATCATGAGGAGGTATGTGAAGATGTGGGAATTAAAGAAATTATCCAGTTCAAACTCTCCCCTTACACACACCCCAACATCTGGCAACCTACAGGAAAGCAACTCAAGGCCAGTTAAGGTGAAGAATGTGGTCAAAGGCATTCCTAAAGGAATTTACAATAGTGTTGAAGATCTAAGAGATGAAAACAACTAAGCCTACTGAGTAGGAAGTAAGTCCATGACAAGACAATATTATGAATGCCTCAGTTGTATGCTGTGCTGGGTCAGGTCCCCTTCACAATCCACTGTTACCCTGTGCATCTTGTGATTTCCCCCCCTTTCAGGTTCTGTTTCATGTCCTCATGGATATCATACATGTCAAAATGAGATAGATTTCTTCTAGAATAATGGAATGGGTCTTCCCTTTCCACCACTTTGCTCTTTGACTTGTACAAGGTTGGTATACCTTTGAGAATAAAGATGATATGAAAAGAAAAACATATGGCAACACTACCTTTGAAAACTCACCGTAGTTTACCTAAAATAATGAAAGCTACTTTAACCCAACACCATTGTGCATGTGACCTTGTTTGCTCATTAGCACCTGAATTATATGATCAATAAAAAAGATATATGCTTGAGGTGCATACTGGCAGAGGGAAGAGTCATCAGTGGGCAGACATATCCTTATAATGAGCTGAAAACAGTTCAACTGATCACTTGAGTTGCTTGTTCTAAAATTAGTAAAAAGAAAAAAAATCACATTATATTATGAATACTACTTAAAATGCAGGTGGGGAGGAAAACAAGAAGAAGACCTTCACCTCTAAAATTACATCTGAATTGTCCCTTGGACTGACTACCCATCGTTCATGCAACAGGTGGCATGCCAGGCTTCCTGTGAAGGTATCATAATGTCATGATCTTGTGACAAAAATGACAGATCCATGAGTCAAAACCATGATTGCTTTAACAAGGGCAGGAAGTCTTAACAGACAAGAAAATGCCAAACTGATTAAAGAATCTGAGTGCAAAGAGCTGTCATAAACAAAAATAAGGACAGGAAGCCTCCCCGTTGGGCCCACACCCGCTGGGGACGGGTATATAAGAGCCCCAAAGCAAGAGCAGGCATTTGAACCTCAGAAACATCACCCTTCCAAGGAGCCTAAAGCCACCTCCACTCCACCCAGACACCATGGCTTGCTGTGTCCCCCGCTGCTGCAGCGTCCCCACCGGCCCCGCCACCACCATCTGTTCCTCTGACAAATCCTGCCGCTGCGGAGTCTGCCTGCCCAGCACCTGCCCACACACCATCTGGCAACTGGAGCCAACCTGCTGTGACAACTGCCCCCCACCCTGCCACATCCCTCAGCCCTGTGTGCCCAGCTGCTTCCTGCTCGGCTCCAGCCTGCCCACCCCAAACATGGAGACCCTCAACCTCACCACCTACACTCAGCCCTGCTGTGACCCCTGCCTCCCCCGCTGCTGCTGAGCCATGACTCCCTGGCTCTGAGCCGATAACCAACGACCCAGGGACTCTGTGTTCAATGTTCATTTGTCTCAGCAGCTTATTGGAAGTGAGGTAGACCAGATGGCTGAGATATGAAAACCCTACCTTTGATTCCAATGGAGAGAAAGATCACAAATGGTTTGTGATTTTTCTGGCTGAATAATCACTTGGCTCATAGTATTAAAATGCTATCAGATGATGTCTTCTTGTTTCATGCTGCTTTCTGAATTTTTCTCCCTCTATTGAGTCTTTCCATAGAGGCAAAATAACCCCCTGATGGGTTTTCTAATAAATTTCATTTCCCTGGTCATATGTGTTTTTTATTTATGTGAGTATTTGGGGGTTACTTATGCTTTTTTTTCTTTTTAGGGATAAAGATGGTTGTTTTAATTATTTTGGAAAAAATTTCCATTAAGGGATCATTTAGAACTGACTTTTCACGGTTTACATTTTCTGATCACCTTGATCTCCTTTTTTCCCAGATAAATATAATTTGGTGATGAGTCAACACTTGCCTAATTTTTGCCAGATGAATCAAATGTACTTAATTCTTAAAATAGCATTAATAGATGACAAAAGTGAAGCTTTAATTATTCAGCATTCATAAAGTCATAAAATCAGTAAGAAAAGCAGAATTTAAACCTTGGTATGCCTCACTCAAAAGCCCAATTCTTTCTATCACATCATAAGGCCTCCAATATTAATAAAGGTAGAAGATTTTTGACCAAAGTTATGACATCAATGTAAAATATGTAAGAGAAATAATTATAAATTTCTTTAACAAAATCATCACACCTAATTATAATTGAAAAATATGCTGGCTCAGAGATTAACATTGGCAGGTACTCATTCTTAAGATCTGGGTCATTTAGTAGGCTAACCTTTTTCCAATTTCAATTTTCTTTAGAAAAACCTTAAAATGATTAACTCTAGTAGCAAGGCACTATAAACTGTAGGCCAACATATTAATATTAGCATAAGCTGGGTACCAGGGGCTCACACCTGTAATCCTAGCTACTCAAGAGGCTGAGGTATGAGTACTGGAATTCAAAACCAGTAGGAATTCAAAACCTGAGTAGAAAGGTCCAAGAAAGTCTTATCTTCAATAAACCAGAAAAAAAAAAAAAAACAGAAGTGGATGGGCTGGGAAGGTGGCTCAATGGTAGAGTGCTTGCCCTGCATGCATGAGGCCCTGGGTTCAATTCCTCAGCACCACATAAGCAGAAAAAAAAAGCCAGAAGTGGCTCTGAGGCTCAAGTGGTAGAGCATTAGCCTTGAACTGAAGAGCTGAGGGACAGTGCCCAGGCCCAGAGTTCAGGCCCCACGTCCGGACCCAAAAAAAAAAAGAAAAAAAAACGGAAGTGGAGATATGGCTCAAGTGGTGGAGTACCAGCTTTGAGCAAATAAATAAAGGAGAATGCCTTGGACTTGGGTACTGTCACAAATATGTACATATACGTTAATAAGACAATTGCCAAAAGAATGCCAGTACTTTTCAGGTAATAGTTTTGGAGCTGGAGCTAAAGTCTTTATTAAATATAATTTAATCCATTAACTGATTTTTATTAACTTACTTAATTTTGTCTTCTTGTAGGGTATCCTTTTCTGAGTCTAGAAATAAAATGCATATGTGTCGTATGCATTTGAACAGATGTCTACTTTTATATACCACATATACAACACATATCTAAACACAAATCAAAATCTGAACATAGCATTGAGTTAAAAGCCAAAAAGAATGCTTGTAGGGGAGACAGTCAGGCAAGGAAGGGGAGAAGCAAGTACTTTTAGGATCTTTAATACTAGAGCGATTCCTCAGAGAATCCCAGAGGCTACCTAACAATTTAACTCTGAGGGGATAGTGCTTAGAAGATGAGACACAACCTAGCATGTTACCAACAAGAGATCTGACTTACATTTCTCATGCATTTCACCTGTATTTCTTGAGAATTGGCCTTTGTTAGTCCAATACTCTTGTGCCAGGAGTATATACAAAAAAAAAAAATGCTCTGACCTGAAGTGGCCATAAGTTTCCCTTAAGTCAGGTGAAGGACACAGGTTGTAACTACAATACATACATTGCATATATGTTGTAAGTATGTGGCCACATTCTGTGATTCTCTGACTGAGAAGGAACTCTGCACACTGATACCAGGCCCCAGGAAAATGAACTAACATTCAGATCCAGTGACTCCCTATGAGGAGAAGCAAGAGGCCTGGGATCTGAGCCCTCCAGACAAAGCATTAGAAGATAAATTGACAGTAAGCAGGTCTTGGTAGAGCAACTGCTTAGTAAATCACAGAGGCATCAGGAAGTTTGGTGATTTTTAAGCTACAGGAGGTAGTCAGGAAAGGCTAAAGTCCTAAGACCGAGGAAGCCCAAAGCGAAGAGGCCTGGACTGGGACTTCAAAGGAGTGAAAGACTGGATGTAGTAGATGAGCAGTCATATCTTACCTCTGTTGTTATTTCACAGTCTTTGGTTTGTGCCTTCCTGGTCACAGATAGCCTCATTGACTATCAAACATGTAACTAAAACGTGACAAGTTCAAAGTTCGTGGTGTGTGTGTGTGTGTGAGTGTGTGTGTGTGTGTGCGTGTGTGTGTGTGTGTGTGTGTGCGTGCGCATGTGGGGTGGGGGAAGTAGATTTTCAACATTTTGAAAATCAAGAATTATAGTCTCTTTCCTGTTTAGCTCCAAGGAAAAAGAGATGTCGTTTTTTAAAAACACATGTTTCACAGCTCAGGCACATGGTTTAAACTTCCATTTCAACCACATAAAGAGCAGCTCAATTCCAATAGAGCTTATATTTAGATCTTAACAAGGGAGTCAGAGGCCATCTTAGTCCAATTACCTGGCATTTCTAGGCCTCACTACCTCCAATATAAACAAAGCTGAATAATAGCCAGATCTCCAGACTACAGCAGAGAAAATGCATTCTAATATGGGACTGCAAGTTTTGTCAATAAAAGTGATGAGTTTATCAACATAAACATGATAGTCTATGACTTTCTATTCCATAAAGTCTCATTTATAATTGAAGAAGGAAGATGTTTTTACATAGACAATAACAATTCTTTTACTGTAGACTGAAAGTAATAATTGCATTCTGAATGAAAGATGAATATCTCTCTGCCATGAAATTCCATTTTAAGTGTCTAAAAGCCATGTTTCCTTTGCAATGTTTCCTTAAATTGTCAAAAATGTTTTGTCCTTTTTGTTGATGTTTATGCTCTTAGAGTCTAATCTTTTGCTTTCCAATTATAATAATAGCAGTAACTGTAATCCTAGCTATTTAGGAGACAGATCTGAGGATCACGGTTGAAACCAGCGTGAGTAGAAAAGTCCATGAGACACTTATCTCCAATTAACTAGCAAGAGGTACCAGCCTTAAGCAAAAAAAAAGCCAAGTAGGAGCATCAAGCCCTGCATTCAAGCCCCACTACTGGCACAAAAGAAAAAAGAAAATAGCAATTTATAACAATATGTGTGTGATAAACTTTTCTACCAGAGTATGAGCTCCATACAAGTTTAAAAAAATGTTCACTCTGTTCACTGTAGTCTACTCAGTATTTATCACAAGGCCTGGCACATGGTACTGTCCAATCAACATCTGTAAAATTAAAGTTTTGAATAATGACTGGAAGTTGTGCAATCTGGCAGATGTCCACGAAAAGATAAATCTGAGCAAGGTGTTGAGGTACCAGTAGATGTGCTGAATATTCTCTTTCTCAGCAAAGCTATAGAGAACTTTTACAAATCTTTAAATTTATCAATTTATGTGTCAGCCACTTTCGCTACATGTAAATGTGGACCTTTATTGGTTTTAAACTTTAAGATAAATGTTTACTGTTTATTTTTCTCAAGTAAATTTATTGTACAAAATATTGGGTTTCATTGTAATGATATTTTGGTTGTATTCACCTCTTTGTGATTCGTATAAGGCTGATGTATTTTTTCTTTCACCTTTTCCCTACTTCTTCTTTTTTCCCCTTACTTCTTCTTGACTGTGTTTCTTTTATTTTAACTTTGCCTTGAATTTTACCTGAAACTTTTTTTGCTAATAATAATGATTTACCTTCCCATATCACCTTGTGGTTGTCCATGGGTCTTAGCCCCCCTCCCCTTTTTTATATCTCACCATAACAAAGGTCATCTATCACAAACTGATAGCCAACATTACACAGAATTGAGGGGAAATCATTTTCTCTCATAAAAGAACTATTACAAGATCCTGTTGTACCATTCCTTAATATATACCTAAAGGAATCAACAACTGCCAACAGTATAGATAATTGAGCACTCATGTTCACGTCAGCTCTATTCAATTTATGTCATCAATGGATGAATTTGATTTATTAAAGAAATGTGAGATATATATATAGAGAGATACACATGGAATATTATTGAACTTAATAGAAGAGTGACATCTTCTCACTTACAAGAAAATGCATAGAACTAGAAATCATCATGTGAAGCAAAATAACCCAGACTCAGAAAGGCAATCATTGGATACTTTCTCATATATATATATATATATATATATATATATATATATATACACACACATATATATACAAATATACATACATATATATACATATATACATACATATATATGTATACATATATATGTATATATAATTTTAGCATCATGGTCTCAAGCCGTTCTCTCCCTTAGACTACATAGGCATAAATTGAAATTTCAATTTCCCACAACTAGCAGCGAAAGAAGTAAAGCAAGTCAGTTCTGAACTCAAAGATAAATGACCATACACCTATGGCAGGATTTTCTGACTTAACTAGCTCTGAGAGAAATATAAACACACTGATGAAACTTCATTTTTTATCCATGAGGTTAGAAAATACATTTAAAATACCAATGGAAGTTTTAGGGAAATAGAAATTTTCAATACAGTGCAGCTAATAGGAATAGATAAGTAGGAAAAATAGGCTAAGTAGAACCACTTTGGAGAAAAGTATAGCAATCAGGGTGCC